TTTGGGTTTTGAATGAAGCCATTGTTGTTGTTGTTGTTGTTGTTGATTGTTGATTGAACCTTTTCATAAATATTGGGAAAAGGGGAGGGAAATCCTATTTTAATGATTATGATTTAATTTGTATAATTAAATTGGAATGGCTTGGAGAGGAATGTAGTAGATTAAAATGAGCTTGGCTTTATTGTCCTTGGATTTGTTTTTGTGAAAAACAAAAGAAATAAAACCGGTTTTGAAAAATAAAGAGAGTTGGTTACGTGAAATGGGAAAGGTACTTTGAAATGAGTATGAATGTTGGATTGTTGTATCTTATACTACTATGTTAGTATTGGTGATAAGTTGATGATCTCATGATATTTGGGTCTGTTGATAGATGTACAATATACATGCATCTAGAGGTTTTGTCCTTGGTCATCGGTGGAGGATGACGTGGTCGTGTTGTATTGTCGTGTATGCACTACACCATTGTTGATTGAACATCTTATGTGATGAAATATTGAGATGCATTATATTCGCATACTTGTTAGGGAGGAGAGAGGGGTTGTACTCCAGTGTGTGTGAGAAGATAGGGGATGTACTCCACACATTTATGTGTTCATATATTTTAACACATGGTTTGTATTTGGATAGTTTATGTATATATGTTATACATGTTGGATATGCCTTGTTGCATGGTTGTTGTTGGCGTTATATGCCGCGCTTATAATCAAAGGTACCGTTACCTTCCAGCTAGCGCCTGGAGAACTGTATGCGCTAATAATAGAAGGCACCATACCCTTCCAGCTAGCGCCTGGTAAACTGGTATTTTGGCTTACTACGCACATAGCTAGTAGAGCGAAGTTGGTTGTAGTTATTTCAGTATATCTTTGGCTTACTAAGCGCATAGCTAGTTGAGCAGGGTGGAATTGTTGTTGTTTAGTTGTAACTGAAAATATCATAGATTTGATTGGTTCCAGTTCGGAGAACCGAGTTACTCCATTGATTGATTGTATACATGTGGGTGGGTTATAAATTATTATTTTTACAAGGTTATGCATGTATAGGTATGATAGTAGTGGAAATGAACCAAAATGTCTTTTTCTGTCTTAAATATGATAAAAAGGA